AAATGCATAAATATAAATATAGTTTCAGAACAGAAGTATGAGTCTGTGTTACGTGAGTGAGGAAATACATAGCTACTGTTCACTGCACAACACCCGAGGTAACAAAAAAAAACATAGGGCATTTTCATGAAGTAGCACTATGAAGAGTTGATACTGCATCTTTCTTTGTAACTTTTAAATTAATATATTTTTTATTCTGCGTACCTCTTTCCCATCAATATTTTAAAACTATACTTTAGATTTGCAGCCAGAGATAGTTTGAACACGTGGAGGCAATTTTTATTTTTGATTGTGATTGACTTTGACTCCATGCCCCCAAACTTCTGCTAGATTTTTAGTGGAAGAAATTCTTTCATACAGAATTTAAATTGTGTGCAACAAATATATTGTTCATATAAACACACTCAAAAGTTCAAACATGCATGTGAGAAAGGAGCAACATAAAGCACGAATGAAGAACAAACAATAGCTGGCCTGCAAAAAATACCAGCTTTGAAACAAGGTCTTTTCTAAACACAGATGTAGCATACTGTATTTCATTTCAGATTAGATGCTTAGAAATACAAAATGGCATTTTTTAGTATAAAGGACTTCGGGTCATATCATACAGGAAAAACACAGGGATGTGCTTATGAGTTCTCAGCAGGTGAGCTAATGCCCAGACATCATGCAAAACCTAGGCAGTATGAAAAATACTGTTACTCTATACAAAACCGTAACTTTCCACAGGGACTCTTTTGACAACAAAAGACCTGCACATCAAATACTTTTCTTCTTCTCTTCTTTTCTGCACTAGCTTACAAGTTCCAGTAAGACATGTGACTCAGAATAAGAAACTACCATGAGCTGTTTAAGTTAATTGTATCGTTGATTTTTTCTCCTTCTGTTTCTTCATACAAGCAATTTCCATTAAGTGTACACAATGACTGTGATTTCTTTTTACGTCTATTTTTTCTCTAATAATTTTCAGTGACATGAATTTTTAAAATGAAAATACAGTTTTGCCAAGTCTATTATTAATCAAATGTAACATGTAGTCAAGGTGTTTCAAATGTCAAGGCCAGGCATGCATCCAAGTTTATAGGTCCGCCTAATCCCGCGCTTGTTGCTACCATTGCTTAACACCCATCAGCAGTAGCACCTCTGCATTTCAGTGCTGGGAGGAGAAGATTTGTCTGTCCATGGTTCATATGGCTGCTGTTTTATCTTGTCACTCTCCTAATGCAAGTTAATGCTAACTGCGACCCCAGACTACCTTAAAATCCCAGCATGTCAGGCCGTGGAAAAACGTGACCTTTAAGTATTGCTAATCCCTATTTGCTAGTCCATCTCAGAAAGATGAGGCTCTGTGCCAACCCTATGAACATTTATTCTCCCAAATGTATACTGAACGTTATTCCTCTTATTGTTATTTCAATCTCTTTAGCCTCTGTCAACACAGTGTTAAGAAAAGATGGATTGCCATTAAATATAATTATTCAAGCATTTTAAAAACACACTTTCCACAGCACTGGTCTTAAGAATGCATAATTGATAGTAAGTTATTTCTAAATTTGTCTGTCTCAATGGCTTTTGATATTTAGAATGAATAATGAGATAGATAACAAAACTTTCAAATTCCAAAAAAGCCCTTAATCTTTCAAATACTCCTTTAATGTTTTCTCTGATTACAGAAAATTGCAATGCACTTGTTGAAACATATATATATATAAGCATGTTTTAGAAAAAAGCTAAACATACAGAAAATGAAATGTACTAACTTGATATATTTTTCTGCATCTAAAATGCCTTTCAATCAACTTTTTGACCACAGTGCTGTGGGTGGAGTGTCTCTGTACAGTACGGTTTCTGTTGCACAGAAACCTCAGAATTTAGCATGTTACAGCTTCTTACCATCAAAGTAGACTCCAGTACAAAAATATCTTTAAAGCCACTGTTTGTGTTTACTGTTAGGTGCTCCTGAACATTTAGCATAACCACAGAGCTGTGCTGCATAGCATATACTTATTTCATAATACCTATCACCAGAATGATAACTGGTTAGAGTTCCTTTTTGTGGAAAGTGAAAAAAAAAAAAAAGAAGAAAAAGAAGAACAAATCAGCTAGATCTTTTTTTTTCTCTCTTTAAAATATAATCTTAATTGCTCTAAATTTGATTTTTTTTTCCTTGATCTTTCTAACATTTTCTAAATTGATTAGAAAATGCTTTCTGCAACTGTTGATAAACGCATTAAAAAAACCTGTATCTACGACTGTTTCTATGGTGATCTGGAATAATTATTTTCTATTAAATATGGCATTAAATGTGTCTTATCTTTACATATATATTACACACGTATATGTAAATTTATCATGCTTTTACAACAGTTTATAGTAGGGGTGAACTTGTATTTTCAAATGTGTAGTGAAAGGCCAGTAACTTCAGGAAAGATTGAGAATAGGAAGTGGAACAGATAAGAGGCCAGTCTTATTAACTGTCTTTAATACCTTTTTAAGCATGTGTATATACTAAACAAGGTTTGAAACACCAACACAGTTTTTAAACACTATTAGGCGGCACTTTTATGCATAGTTTTATATGTATTGCAAAAAGCGCAGTGTGCAAAGAGTACCGTATTTACCTCTGAATCATACCAATATAATAACCTAATTCCATCCCTTCATATTAACTGAAAATCCACCAGTCCATTACTATTTGTCTTAGAATTATGGTTATTTTGCGTATTTAAAAGTTATTTTTAAAACCTTAAGAGCCAAACTGCCCTCAGAACACGAATGGTGGTAATGAGAAGATAGGTTACTAAAACCTGCAGCATTTTGGTGCATGAAGAAGTGTAAATGATGATGACTTTATCGGCTGTGAGCATATCAGATGCTGCTTTCAAGCACTGGGAACACACAAAAAAAAATGCCTGATAGTGAAGTAGCCAGCTTCCAACTTGATATAAATCAAGGCGAGCTTTTTATGCATTTCAGATGAAATTGTGACAAGAGACACCCAGTACATGTGCTGAAGGAAAGGCATTGACAAAAGAGGATTGTTAAAAGGACGTTTTTACCACTTCAACTCTGCCTCTTCTTCAACACCATGGAAACACCTCTCAAACAGCTCTTCATGCATAAAGCTGCAAGAGTCTTCTGAGAGATGCTTCATGGACTAGTCATTGCAACGTCTGTAAGTGGGGCTGTAGACAGCCGGAATTCAAGTGTGCATATCACACACTGTCATATGCTCCATTTAGAGGGTAATTTAGTCCAGAGCAGACTTTCAAGTTTAATCGCTAGTAGGTAAAACTCATTTCAGCTACATAAACTAGAAAGTAATGTTGCTTAGTTGCAAGTATAAATTCTTTCATGTGCTGTAATTTAAATTTACATGTGTGTGTGTAAATGGTAATAGTGGTCACAGACACTAGTCTTCAGCTAAATTTGTAACAACAATTATATGCTTCTTAGAGATGTCAATACATCAGTGGAGGAACAGAAGCAGCCATAAATTCTCCCACTGAATGCATGCAGCATTCAGGATTCATTATTTATCTTTGTCACAATGTAGTCTTTGTTTCAGTCTGTATTTTCTGGTGGGAGTTTGTTTGGGGTTATTTTATTTTATGTTACTTTTGGTTTTAATTCAGATTCTTCTAGTACTTCTTCTAAAATTTCACACACTCCAAGAGGCTGAGCCATAACAGCACTCCTTATTTGTCGCTAACAGTCACAGCGCACGTGCTAACATTTTATGTGTTTGAAGTAGCAGTCCTGTGATCTTTCAAGCAATTCAGTCCAGCCAGTGGTACAATACCAGTGTTCCCTTTACTTCTTCCTATCCTGATTATAAAGATATATAGTTGCTGACATTGAGAAACAAGGAATTTGCATATAAACCTTCCCATATACATTTCCTGCCATTAAACACGTATGAGTGACTAGTGAAAAACAGGGACCAATAATGCACAGAAGTATCTGATAGAGACACTGCTGGTCAGGAATAATTACTGTTCTCTTTGTCCTTATTTCATCTGGAATGTCTAAATTTCTGACACAGGGACTAGAGCAAGCATGGTAGATGATGTATGCGACAAAGAGGAGATACTGCATGAGCAATCTACCAAGCATAATAAAGTCAGGTTGGCCATGTGTAAACCAAGGGGCTCTTGACTTAAACATCACTGCCAGGCACCTAATCCTATCGTATGCTGAACTCCCAAACAGCTACTGGAGATGCCACAGCTCTTGCCATATTCTCTCTTCCCCTTCCTCATATGTGATTTTTGTTTAGATCTGTTTGTCATACGAAGAGGCCTTGGCTGCAACAATCTTTACCCTCAGTGGGACTGGGAAGCAGCACCAGTACAGGATTTGCTCCAGACAAGCCTTCCTTTATGCAATAGCTGGGCATGCCATATTAAATGAAAGACCCTTTAAAGAGCAGCGAAGGACCTTCAGCAGCCTGCTTCCATGTTCTTATAACCCTCCAGCATAATTTACAGGGATGAGACAGCAGTGATTTATGCTAGTAAAAGAGCTATTGTCCCAGAAAGCCTCAAGCATGTTGAGCTACGGCTTGCTGAATAGTCCAGATAAAGAGGAATTCTAAGCAGGATGCCCTAAAATTAAAGCTATAACAAATAAAATCTTCATGATTAATCCATATAAAAAAGAAGGTTTTGTACTTGTATGCTACACTCCATTTTTAGTATATTAGTCCATAAATAGCAGACCTAATACTTAAAATAGTGATATTCAGTCTGCCCAAAGCCAACACATGATGGTGGATCTCTCATACGAATTTTTTCTTTGTTAGTAAAGAGAGGAGGTATAATTGGAAAATGTGTTAATTAACAAATGATATAGCAATCCAGAAATTAGTAGGTTAGGCAGCATCAATATGCTT